TAGCATGACATGGTGTTTGGAGCAATGTCTCACTAAGTAAAATGAGTGTACAATCCTTCGCTATAGCGCATTTCAAGGCTGCGCTACTTTGTCATAGCATGATATTTTTTTCATTGGTTCTAAGAGGTTCTGCATAATTGATGAATAAAATGGTGCATGTCAGGGGTGGCACGGGGCTGTGGATGGCAGCACCTGGCAGCAACGACGAACCTGGTGGCGTTCTACTTGGCCGGCATGCCGGTGGCCATCCTGTTGGCCTTCAAGCTCAACTTGTACACCCACGTAAGTAAGACATAAGCCACGTGCCTTGCCATGCTGCCATTGCGCAATGCCGCAAACATGTAGCTCAAATTCTGAAAAACAAATGTCGCCTTCTCCTTTTGTAGGGTTTATGGTTGGGCTTAATCACAGGGCTAGCCTGCCAGACCAGCATGATGGTGCTGATAACCCTCCGCACGAAATGGTCCAAGCTAGTGGATGCCATGGTGAAAAATCGGGATGGCTATGTCGCTTGATCGATACTTGCGTGTTATTTCAAGAGGTAATTTATGTTCAGGCGGTGGCTGTCCATCTATGGTACGGTAGAACCATCCATGGTGTGCGCCTGTACGGGTTTTTTGTGAGATGGCCTGTGCCGGTACGGGTTTTTGTGAGATTGTGTACGTTGAGTTGATTTCAGCTTGAAATGGTTGAGGTTGTAAACGCCTGGCATGGTAACCAAGCGGCAAGAGTTACATAGAGAGATACCCAAAGACTGGATGTCAATAGGTGTTGAGTAATCCTCTTTTTGACTTTGACATCCCCGCTTCAGTTGCTGCCTTTTCCTTCTGTTACTTCGAAAGTAGCTGCTTCAGCTTGAGTTATAAGAATACTTTATATTTTTCTATTTCTCATCAAATGAATGACATCTTCTTTCGGAAATCCTTTCTATTTATAGCATGATTTTGGGAACCTTATTTCTATTACTCAAACAAACATGAAAAGTCTGCTTGCATATTTGTCCATAGGGCAAATCCGATACATAATTATTAAAACAGTGGTCGAAGACTCAAGTAATGAACATCCAGCATGATAACTTATATGCACGTCGCACAACGCTCCTCGACGAATACTTTCAGTCAATGAAATATGTACATGCGCTGACCCCATGTACTTACGGCCTACCGATTGCTTTCCGGCGAGACGCTCAAGTACACAAGCCACAGTTGATTGATTCTTCCAGGAGAAAGTAAGCACCTACCGAAGGGAGCTCCCGGATCGATTGGTCCTTCGGCCAGAACGTATATGTACAGCAAGTGATTCCGCCGGCTACGAAAAACATGCAGGCGATGACCAGAGGGCATGAGGGATTGATGGCCATAGGCACGTGTCGCGCCTTTTGATTTTCTTGCTTTGATCTCGGATATTACATGTGATGCATTATATATAGCACCTAGAGCTAAAGGCCTACAAACAACTGGAATAACTTTTTTGTTGACTACCTAGAATACTCGACAAAGGCCGATTTAAACTCGGCATTCCTTTTGTCGAGTGTGCACTTGGAGGGCACTTGACGTACGCCAAACATGGTAACTCCTAACTGGACGACCTGGTAATGTCACTTTGCTAATCTGGTAGTTATATTCATCAACAACATATGGATCATGAATGTCCTTCTGTCTAAAATGATAGTTTCAGAATATATAGCTTATCGTGCAACTAATACGTTTCGGTAGCAGTAAGTATGATTTGTTCATCAAAATTTACTTACATTCACTACGAACAGTTTCTTTTCTAATCTCTATGTAGAAGATAAGGTCTGTTTCATATCAACAACGACGACATGCACACAGAGCTGTGGCAACAACAAGGACATTCACATGGGCTTGTGGCACTAACGACGACATCCACATGGAGCTCGGAAGAGGAGCGACGGCGGCAACTAGAGGCACCCCCGGCGACGAGCGGCGCTGCACTTTGTTCTTAAATTCGAAAATGTACAACATGTACTAGTGGATAAAATATGAATATATGTATTAATGTATAAATATTTGGATGCACAGATTTTTTTTCTTAATAAAGAGTGAATTTTATTGACTCAAAATGAAGCATCAAATGGATATAAACACAATGAGCACAACTGGCCTCTGCATAGCTAGGATGCACACAACCAACATCAACACACACAAATAAACACGCCAGTAAAGAGCAAAGTCGTACAAGACCAAAACAATGCCTAAGCGAGAGAAAAAAAACCGAAGCTAGCCAAATGTCGATCAGCAATCTAGAACAATAACCATATCCACACCAACCATATCTTGACACCACAGGGACAACGAGGTTCTTCAACAGCAACGTCTTGTCGACACCAGATCCAAGCATCAAAGGCCAGGCTCTAGGGTTTCACCCTGAAGAACAAGTCCGAGCATATCTGAGCAATGCTTTTAACAAGGTAACAATGCAAAAACATCGCCATTGCGAGGTATAAGAAACTCAGGTCAAATGATTTTATAAATCAACGGATGAATTGTATAAATGATTTTTTTATAAATCAATAAATAATTAGTGGTGGCGCTGGAGGCTGTGTGAACGTTGCTACTACTAGTGTATAGTGGTAACGTGGTATGTGTGTGCACGATCATTGCTATTTCACACAGTGGTGGCCTGAGTAAACAGTTCACGTCATTAAACAAAGTATCACCAAGGTCCACAGTCGGACGAGGCTCCTCTGACGTACTGCAGGGAGCGGTTGGGTCACTGACATGTGGGCCCAGAAGCAGGTTGGCCCACTTGTCAATGAGCCAACTGCACCCTTCAGTACGTCAGGCGAGCTGAGTCCGTCTAGTACAAGCTTACTCGGGGCTAAAGAAAAGGTAACCAAAAAGATTAAAGTTGCCACAACCGGCTAAAATAGGACGAGATGACTAAACACCTAGCCTATTACTGCACCGCTATCCATACCGGTTGTACATATCCCGAGGAACCTTCTCCCATCGTGTAGACCCAATAACCAATGGCTCTCTGGCTTCCGCAGGAGTGAGTAATGATCACGTACGGATCCAAGCAGTGACCATGTAGATAACCTGCAAAAAATGTGTACGAGCTTGTTTGTTAAAGACCATGTCATTTCTGCAGTTTCGTATAACCCAAAGTAATGCGTATACTCCTACTCAAATATGCCTTGCAGTATTTGGCTCCACTGCATTTAGCCACGTCCCAAATAATGTGTGAATACCATTTGGAGGGATGATATTGAAAGCTATATGATTTGAACGCCATAAAAGTTTGGCCATCGGACAATCGAGAAAGATGTGTTTAATAGTTTCATCTTGATCACAAAAGCAACATGGTTGACTACCTTCCCAACTACGCTTTGCCAAATTATTCTTAGTCAGAATCACCTCCTTGTGAACAAACCACATGAAGATTTATGTTTTTAGTGGCGCTTTAATCTTCCAAATATGTATTAATCATGGAATCAGGTCCGAGTCAATTAGATCTACATACATGGATTCATCAGTGGATAGTATCGGGCTCATCAGAGAGGTGAACATCCATCAACCTCCGCACCAGATGTAGCCATGGATCCCATCGGTCTCCTACTAAGGATTGCCGAAATTGAATGTTTAGAGGAGTAGACTATAATATTGTAGCAACATAAGCCTCCTGACGCTATATAATATTATACAGAGACAGATATTGTATGGCAAGATGCGTCTCCCCTAACCAAGTATCTTCTCATAATCTAGTCGAATTACCATTTCCAATGATAAATTTAGTTCTATGGAAAAAAGCAGCTTTCGTTCTCATTAAGCCCTTTCCAGAAAGGTGAATCATTGGTTCTAATGGTAACCTGGGCCAAGGTATTAGATTGTAGGTACTTATTAAGTAGAATTTGCACCCAGGTTCCTTCGGTCTCAACAGATAGCTTGTATAATCATTTACTGAGCAGATATCTATTCTTTACCTCTTCTCAATCTTAAGCCCACCCTGACCCTTGGGTCTGCAAATCATATCCCACCTAGTAAGTCTGTACTTTCTTTTTATCTCATCGCATTATCAATAGCATTTGATCTGGGAGGAATGTCCGAGTCCAGAGTACATCACGTACGGAGGCAAGGATGCTTAAACAAGCTATGCCATGTACAAGTGGATCGTTCATGTGATGACATGCCTCCCATTTGTAACAGTAGAGGAGGCCCCGGGGTCAGGCCGTGGCGCTAGCAAGCATGCGAAGAAGAACTACATGATGATCAATTAATCTTTTTGTGTGGTCTCTATGTATGTTTTAAATATTTCATGTAAATAACAACCTAGGAACCTCTGTTCATTTACAATTATTGTTTTTATGCATGTTTTAAATAATTCATGCAGCGAGGAAAATTTACAAGTATTGAAATCATGTGAACATCATCACACATGACTCCTTCTGTGTAACTGTATGTGATTGTAAACATATCTCACACAATTTATTAAAATGGTCTGTTTGCTATAAATCGCTCACGATAGATCTAAAAGTTATGTGTTCGATGGCTTGCATCATGATGGGCAATTTTTTCAGTACAACCAGACACACGGCATTAGAAAAAACGTGTGCGATAATTCAGTTCATCTCACACGCTTATTTCAGTAGAACCATGTGCACGAAATCGCACCATGTTTTCCTTCCCCAATCACGCGTGATGTGTTGGCCATCACATACGTTTCACTTTGAGGCACACAATTTTATTTTCGTAATGTGTGTGATAACTTCGTCGCACATAATTCGATGATACGCGCCTAATAGCACCGATCTGCAGTAATGGTACACCAATGTTTAAGAGTTTGCCAATACATTGTCTTGGTGTTTATTATTAATATACGTCAATGTATACATGTTTGCAGAAACACACGATTCAATAACTTAAGGGATGTAGTAGAATCACAAGTTACATACAAGAATACAATGAAAACAATGAAGCGGGAACACATAATACAATACAAACAATATATAATCACTTTATGTATATAACCGTCGAAATAGGTGTATATCACCTTACATCTCAATTATTATGCAACCTTTAGGGAAAAGGGAAAAAATGTAAACAATAGTTTCAAATACAGACGTAACAAAAAGCAAGTAGTAGTACATTACATGGGCAGCTCTATTCGCGAAGTACAATCCTCATGCATGATTCGATGGCCCGCCTAATTATTCAGGCGAACCTTGAATCAAAGTTCATCTTCACCAAGTTCGTAGGTTACCTAGAGCTGTAGATGATCTCCATCTTACGAAGGATCGCCGAGGCCCGATCCTGCACAACCTTCCATGCATCGCCGACATGGTGCTCCTCCGTGAGCGTGCTCCCCACGGCACACCTTAGCATGAACATACCGCCTACGTTTGCGGCGCTCATGTAGGGGCCCGAGGTGACCGCGTTCACCTCTTCTAGGAGGCCTCGGTTGAGGTCGTTGGCCGTCTTCTCACCGCCGAACTTGTCCTGCGGGCGAAGCCGGAAGCACACCAGCGCGAACGTCCTGTCAGTCACAACCTCGAACCTCTCATCAGCCCTCACCATTTCCTCGAACGCCATGGCCATGCGGACGTGGGAGCGGATGTGGTCGCGCAGGCCCTGGATGCCGTAGCAGCGGAGCACGAGCCACATCTTGAGCGCGCGGAACCGGCGTGTCAGCGTCATGTTCCAGTCCTTGTAGTCCACCACGTCGTGCCCCTCCGACGCCGCGTCCTTGAGGATGTACTCCTGCTCGGTCCCGAGCGCAGCCACCAGCGCGCTCGGCTTCTTCACCCACATCACGCAGCAGTCGTTGTTGGCGAGGAGCCACTTGTGGGCGTTCATGCTGAAGGAGTCCACGGCCTCCACGCCGTGTATCACGTAGGTGAACTCCGGGCAGACGAGCGCCGAGCCTGCGTACGCCGCGTCCACGTGCACCCACACTCCGTGCGGCGCGGTGACAGCGCAGAGCTCGCCGATGGGGTCGACGGCAGTGGTCTGGGTCGTCCCGATGGTCGCGCACAGGAAGAGGGGCACAAGCCCGGCATCCACGTCGGCCTGCATGGCTGCCTGCAGTTCCGTGGGCGACAGCGCGAACATGTCCCCGTGGCACGTGTGTATCGCGCGGCAGTGGTCACGCTGGATGCCGGCAATGCGTGCGGCCTTGCGGAAGGCGAAGTGGGTCTGGTCCGAGCAGTAGACCACGAGGTCACAGATCCTGTTCTCGCCGATCTCGGCGAGCTTCCGGTCCCTTGCGGCGACGAGAGTGCAGAGTATGGCCTCGCACGAGGTGCCAAGAATCGTGCCCCCTCCGCCTCCGGCGAAGAGGAGGCTCTCGGGAAGGTGCAGTGCCTTGCCGAGCCAATCCACGACCACCATCTCGAGCTCAGCGGCGGCCGGCGAAGCGGCCCACGTGAAGGGGACCACGTTGATGCCGGCGGTGAGCGCCTCCCCGAGGGCGCCGACGGTGCTGCTCGACGCCGGGAAGTGCGCGAAGTGGCGGGGGCTCTGCCAGTGCGTCATGCCCGGGAGGATGATGTCGCGGACGTCCTTGAGCGCGGAGCTGAACGCGTCGGGCTCCGGACGGGACGGCGCCTCCGTAGGGAGCAGGTTGCGGAGGAAGCCGGGGGTGACGCTGGGGTGCACGGGGTGGTCACCCATGCCGCTGTAATACTCGGCTATGAAGTCGATTACCTGGTGACCCTGGAGCCGGAACTCGTCGGCGTCAAGCAGGTTGTGGCATTGCATCTTCTTCTCCGGCGTGTGCCCTATCACCGGCACGGTGCCATTCTGGCCGGTTGCACCGGTGGCCGTGTCCAAGCATTGCGCTGGTGGGGCCATATGTGAATATGCACTCGAGTTTGTTAATGGCCCTACGCGCTGATACACTGATGATTGCTTTGGCAATGTGGACTGGTGCCAATTCCTGAGCAGCCCCGGTTTCAATTTATAGGAACTGAGACGGCATTTGGTGCCTATGAATAAGGTTTTTTCTAGGGTGGATACGGTGTGGGTTCACACATCCACATTTCACCATGCTTTTAATTTTTTTCTGAAAAGAAGGTTAAAGCCTTCGGCATCAATTGATGCACACAGTCATTTTTATTACTCCCTCCGCCCCAAAATAGATGGAGTATAAATTCGTCCAAAAAGTTTTTTTTAAGTTTGACTAAGTATATCAAAGAACATATCAACAGTTACAATATTGAATAAATGGATTGTGAAAATATATCCAATGATGGATGTACTGTTATAGATTTGATATTGTATATATATACTTGGTCAAACATAAAAAGCATTGACTTTTTTTTGACTGAATGTACACCTTAGGACGGAGGTAGTAATTATTATGTAGAGTACAGAACAAAGGCAATTACGACCGAACCATTACATGCTATGAAAATAAACACCTATAACTAAATCGACTTCATCCTGCCACAACGCCTTCATGAGGGATAAGCATCCTCACGACATCATCGTCTCGTCCGACCCGAGATAACTTGGACAAGGATTTTCATCCTAGTTACCATGACCGGCCAATGAGGACCAACACAACATCAAGTGGACAACGCGTTCAACAAGGTCATGACGCAAGTTCGTCATTGCGGAGCCTGGCTAGTATAGGTTAGGACAAGAGTTTTCAGCCTAGATATGAAGAGGTGTGTGAATCAACATCTTGAAGAGAAATCGTTCAATGCGGTCATGAGCCAACACTTAGCGTTAGACCAAAAAGGCATTAGCAAATCGGTGGGAAATCCTCCTGCCTAAGACCACCGCCATGGCCTTTAGAGGCACCCATGTCTCGGTGCGGATCTAGCCGCTGTCACTCCACACAGGCGCGAGTCCCGACAACATATCATCCATCATACCGTCAGTGCCACTTCCTCGGATGTAGTTGTCGGATGGGAACTACCAATGCGCCCTTTGCCCATCAGCGTCGAACCGAGTTGCTTTCTCGTGGAGCTTGCTCGTGCGATAGCCGCTGCCGAGCATCGGACGAAAAACCTCTTTCTGATGTCAGCAAGTGCTGCAAGCAACCATTGTCATCACGCTTGCAGAAATACCAATGTGCAGGCAGATGCGTTGTCGAGCCCCTTGATCATCTTGGCATTGTCGTCAAAGGCCGCCGCCGTTGCCGCCATGACTATCCATGCATCCATCATGAATGAAGTTGTGCTTGTCGTAGCCTTTGTGAACATCGACACTAACAGATCCAACATTCGAACGCATGCCACTGTAGTTGCATCGCCCAGATCTACCATGTCCTCGGGCGCACAAGGTACGACGACTGGCAATGCTAGTGCACTGTTCATGGCCACCTTGCCCGAGGCTGGCACATCCTTCAGCACCGCTGCTCTGTCATCGGCAGTACCCGCATAGTCGTGTGCCAGCACTAGCTTCAGATCTGATGCATCTAACACATCCAACAGGTTGATGTAATGGTCTCCTGGCACGACCTTCGCAGCCACCAACCAGGAGGCGCGGAGAACAGATCCAACCTGTGGTTTTAGAGTATCTACAGGCGGACTTGCCAAATCCGCTCGCTGTACGCCCGCGGACGCACCCGGGTGCGCACGGGTGGAGTCATGATTTTGACATAGGGGGCCAAACAGGTAATAAAAAAAGTGTTGCTCTATCATAGTAATGGATGGCTTCACACTAAAAATTACCAAGTTGTATTTGTATCAGTTCAAAATAGACTCTACAATTTGTAAAAAAGATATAAATATTCCGCAAAAAGTTAAGATGAAAATATTAGTAGGTCCTAAGAAAACTTAGTATTGCAGATCATAAGATAAGAAAAGTTAAATTTGATGTATAATTTGAAGACACAGAAGATGGGAATTGAGATAGATTAGTAAAAATAACCATTAGCGCTAACCTTGGCTAGTTAGCTGGACCGCTCTATCGCTGGAGAATTGATGTGGGCAGCCTACACGATCGCCCCTCGCAACACCAGCGGAGCCTGAATTGATCTAAATCGACTTTGATTGCTACAAGAAGGGCGGACAGCGGCTGCCGGCGGCGCTAATTGCCTCTCTTTTGTTTGACCTAGCGCTAATTGCCTCTGCTGGGCGTGCGAGTTTAGGATTAGGAACGGACGGGGCCACGATCATCAGTGGGCCATCTTATAGGCCTATTTTTGTCTCAAGTCTACGTTTGAGTCACGGCCTCAGGGGGGCTCAAGCACACGCAGTCACGTAATCGATCGTTAATTACTAGCACCTGCTAAAAGTTTTCTTGTCATAGTTTTATTGAATAATTAATAAAGATGTCTGTATGCATCGATTGATGCAGAGAACTAAGGTTTTAACCTTCTTTTCCAAAATCCACGCGTCCACAACCGCGTATCTCTTATCATGCACTTTATATCGAGACAAAATTATACAATGTAGTGCATAGATCACTAGGCGGGCAAAAATGACAGGAAACACATTCTAGACCGATAACAAACGGGCATAAATTCACATATAAACATCACCAAAAGATCGGTCATAGTTCACACAGTTCATACTATCCGGCAAATGCTAACTAGATACTAGCAGGACGATACTACGAGCTAGATATGAGAGGGCGGAGCTTCACCACTTCCTCGCCGGCCCTTGCCCTTACAGTCGCCGGCGATGCTGTGTGCGTTCGCGGCAGGAGGTGGGTCGATGTCGGAGTCATCGGAGTCGGACCCGTTGGAGGAGGAGGAACCGAAGATGATGATGTAGCCCTTCAAGCACCAGACGATGCGGTCCTGCTTGCCCATAAGTTTGGCCACCCTCACCACCTCTGCGGCTGCCTCCGTCGCCTCCTGCTCGGACTGCTTAATGCCGATCCAAAGTTGCTTGGTGTTGATCCTCCGAAGCCGCCGGGCCTCCGTCTCTGCTCTGGTAAGTGACTAACGGTACACCCACTGGAGGAGACACTCCTCCTTGTCGGGCATCGGCTTCATGTGGCGGTATCGGGCAAACTGCGCAGCCGTGTCGGACGTGACCCCCGTCTCCCTTGCCCTCTGCCTCATAGCAGGCACCACATGCCTCCGATTCTGGAGTTCGCATCCACAACGTCGGTGGAGCGGGCACTAGAACCCACCGCTGCCTGTGTGAAGCAGCGGCCGGAGGTGGGGGAGGCCGTCGGGCGGGCGGCGCTGATTGGGCTGCCTTGCAGATCTGCGCACGGGGCAGGAAGGGCCAGCGTTGGCGTCGGCGAGGGGCGACAGGCGGCATTGCTCATGAAATGAAGCTGCCGACCGTATCGACCCACGAGCTCTCTAGCGCGATTCTGAGCGGCAGCTCGTCCTCATCTCCGGAGTTGCCATCGGAATGGCTACGGGTGTTGGACATGGTCACCGGTGCTCGGGATTGACGCACTGGAGAAAGTGGAGCTGAGCTGAGTGGAGTGAAGTGAGCCCAGCGTTTGCTCTGGAGGGGGATTTTGTGGGGTCGGGTGGACCAGAGATGGGCCGGACGGAAGTGGGGGACACGCCCGGGCCGCCTCATATCCGCCCTAGATTTGGGCTGGATATGAGGGG